TAACATGGTGAAACCCTTTCTCTACTAAAAATACAAAAAATTAGCCAGGTGTGGTGGCACGCGTCTGTAGTCCCAGCTACTTGGGAGGCTGAGGCAGGATAATCACTTGAACCTGGGAGGCTGAAGTTGCAGAGAGCCAAGATTGCACCACTGCACTCCAGCCTGGGCGACAAAGCAAGACTCCATCTCAAAAAAAAAACAATAATTTGTGTTCTGTTGTGAAAATTAATTGTATATGATGGATATTTTGGTAAAAATTTGTAACTGAAGACTAAAGTGCTTTCTGAATTGACATTTATTTCTGTACAGTCAGTTGCACAGTGGTCTGTGATCATTGGATAGAAGATTGGTAATTAAAATTCACACAATATAAAAGCTGTTTCTACTCCAGTCTTACTAAGATTTTTAGTGGCTGCCAACAAGTTAGATATCTGACTGCTTTAATATCATTTCCTTACAGTGCCTGAGCTCCACTGAGAAACAAAATGCCCAAAAGGCAAAGAGCTAAAAAGAGAAGAAATAACATTATCAAAACTGCAATCTTCTCCTAAAGAGAATAGTTCATATCATTGGTAGTTTATTTGTACAGTTAAGTTTATTTGTAGTGTCAAGTTGTGAATATAGTATTAAGATTATCATTTCTGCACTGTTTAATTTTTAAAAATTACCTCAGTGACCTTGGTTTTGTCCTAACTATAAGTTTATTAACAACTTAATGGCCATGGAAATCATTTAAATCCCCTTTGATAATTACACATACACTGAAACTACTTATCTGATACCACAGAGCAGAATTTGGGTTATGAGCCTATCTTAGACATTATCAAAAAAAAATTTAATGGCTGGGTGCAGTGGGTCATGCCTGTAATTCTAGCACTTTAGGATGTCAAGGTTAGAAGATCACTTGAGGCCAGGAGTTTGAGACCAGCCTGGGCAGTATAGCCAGACCCTATCTCTTCAAAAAAAATTTTTTAATTGGCTGGGTTTGGTGTCATACCCCTGTAGTTCCAGCTAGTTGGGAGGCTGAGGCAGGAGAATAATTTGATCCCAGGAGGTTGAGGCTGTAATGAGCTATGATCACACCACTGCACTCTAGCCTGGGCGACAGAGTGAGATCCTATCTCTAAAATTAATTAGTTAACTAATTAAATTAAAACAATAATATTTTTGTAGTACAGTATTAGTTAAATCTGTATTTTATTTTTGAGACAGGGTGTCACTCCGTTGCCCAGACTGGAGTGCATTGGTGCATTCTGAGCTCACTGCAGCTCCTGTCTCCTGGGCTCAAGTGATCCTCCCACTTCAGCCTCCCAAAGAGCTGGGACTACAGGTGAGTGCCACCACGCCTGGCTAATTTTTGTAATTTTTGTAGAGGCTGGGTTTTGAACCCGGGAGGCGGAGATTGCAGTGAGCCGAGATCATGCCACTGCACTCCAGCCTGGGAGACACAGCGAGACTCCGTCTCAAAAAAAAAAAAAGAAAGATATTGAGGCCATGAGGAAGGCTGGTATCTTTGAGTGCAAAGTGATTTGGGAATATAAAAAATTTGCTTGGATTGAATCACATGGAAGTTTGTCACTGACTTGTGTTCGGGAACTATGAAACATGAATATGTAGGCTGAGAAAGAGTTTATCTTGATAAGTAAACAATTAAGAAATATTTTGGAGTGTAAAAAAAAAAAAGTTTTTGTTTACTAGGCAAGGGTAGAGGTAGGCTGCAGTACCCCCAGGAATTAAACCAGTGATGTACATGGTTAGCACAGAAAGATAAGCATATATTTTTAATCTGTTTTTCTAGTTTTAACATTAACTTCAATTTGAGATTGAAGTGTGTAAACCAATATTTTTTTTCTTTTTTTTTTTTTGAGACAGAATCACTCTGTTGCTAAGACTGGAGTGTAGTGGCACAATCTTGGCTTACTGCAACCTCCATCTCCTGGGTTCAAGCGATTCTGCTGCCTCAGCCTCAGAATCTGTAGCTGGGAATACAGGCGTGTGCCACCACGCCCAGCTAATTTTTTTGTATTTTTAGCAGAGACTTGGCCATGCTGGTCTTGAACTCCTGACCTCAAACAATCCGCCTGCTTTGTCCTCCCAAAGTGCTGGGATTATAGGAGTGAGCCATCGCGCCTGGCCCCGTGATTTTTTGAAAAATCTGGGTAGAATTCGGTAATTTTCTTACTATTCATTAACATTACTAATTACAACTTAATCTGACCCTTACTCTTATCCCTAGTATTGATTTTAAAGTTCTTTTCTAATTCTTAATTTTTACCTTTGATTCAGGTCCTCTTGCATCTGACACGTGACTCTGGGTTGGGACAATTTGACAACAACATTTAAAAAGTTTTCTCTCCACAGCCAACTAGAATGTGTGCCCTCTGTAAAGTAGGTCATCTTACTTTACCAGTGGGCTTATTTGAAAACATTTTTCTTGTTAAACTTCCTAGCTTCTCCAGTGATTTTACACAACAGCCTACTGAAGGTAGAAACAGTATATCATCAGTTCTCTTTGCTATTTCCTGAATTTAACTTGAGACTGAGGCCAGGCATGGTGGGTCGTGCCTGTAATCCCAGCACTTTGGGAGACTGAGGCGGGCGGATCACGAGGTTAGGAGTTCAAGACCAGCCTGACCAACATAGTGAAACCCCGTCTCTACTAAAAATACAAAAATTAGCCAGGCATGGTCGGGCACACCTGTAATCCCAGCTACTCCGGAGGCTGAGGCAGGAGAATGGCTTGAACTGAGGAGGTGGAGGTTGTGGTGAGCCGAGATTGCACCACTGCACTCCAGTCTGGGCAACAGAGCAAGACTCCATCTCAAAAAAAAAAAAAAATTTGAAACTGGCTGGATTTCAGTCTTCCCCAACAATACAACCTATGTCATTCATTTGCATTTTTTTTCAGCATGATGATCTTGTCCTAGGTAGCTCTTTGTCCATTACTGCATTTAAAACGTTCAAGGCCCTCCCCTCTCTAATCATTGTAATCCATTTAAAGCCATTTTAGAAAGAGAAGGCTGTCTTACTGTCTCCATATCTTAGCACACCCATATCTCAGCACAATGCCTAGCATATCGTCATGCTTAATCTGCTGAAGCTCGGTGGAGTTGGAGTTTTATTCCCAGTTCGTACATATCAAAAAATGAAGATCGAGTCCTTTCCCTTTGTCTCACTCCTACCTTTATTTAACTAAAAAGTAGATACTCAAGGTTGTCAGAGTTACCTTTTACCACTAATTTGACAGTCTCTCATAAGATGTATTTTTAGTTTTAATATCAATAAATCAGTAGAAACTAAATGTTATCCTTTATAACAAATCCTTATTGTTAAAATAGAGTAAGCCTAACTACCTGAGGCTGAAATTTATGGAACAATTTATTTGTAAGTTTTGAAATGTATTTCATTGTTTTTGAAGCTAGTCCCCAGATTATAATTATTTCAGCTGACACACAGGACATTATTCTCTGGCAGTTTCCACCCAGCCTATTGATGCTTTCTTCACCAGGTTGGCCCCTTCAACAAGTTTCTGATGGTTTATACAAGTGAAGTGTTCCTAAAAACAAACAAACAAATGTCTCAATTAACTAAGTAATTGAACAGAACTTGCATATTTTCAGTAAAAAGAGTAATATTTTACAAATGAACAGTTCCAGGATGGTAACAGTAGGAGGGAACTTCTTCATTGTGTTAGTACCACTGCTTTCTAAGCTGGCATGCATGGAGGTACACAAAACTACAGGATAAACATAACACATGGTCCTGACGTGTCATTTTTATTTGGACAGGAGATACTCTGTTTTTTATTTCCATGTTAAAAATAAAGATGTATTATACAGGTGAATTTAGAGGTCACATGAAGTTTTAAATGGGAATTTCAGAAAAATGTTTTGCTTGTGCCTGAGGTGATAAGTATATACTTACTCCTTTCTCTTGTTAAACTAACTTTATTGTATGGGAAGAGAAACAGGTTCAAGGAGGTTGCACAGGGTCAGGATGAGAAAAGGTCCATGTCCTTTCCTTTTTACCAATGCTTCCCGAACTTTTCACTCTGTAAAGAACCTGTTCTATGATCTGCCTGCCTCCAAGAACCGCACGTTTGAAAGATGTGACCTACGACACTGAATCTGTTCAATAAACTGTTTTACTGTTAATCAAAAACAAAAGAACTACAAGTTAGAGTTTTCGATCAACACAAGCTAACCAGTTAACCACACTGAATTGATATAGTTTTGGCAAAAGGCCTTTTTGGGGGGAAATGGGCACATTACGCGTTACATAAAACTTGAGGGGATAATGAAAGTGACTGGAATTATTACTAATTTAGAGCCTTAAAGATATGGGGACCCCTAGGAGTAACAGGTCCCAGGTTCTGAACTACTGTTCAGAGGCCTGCTGCCTCGAAACTTAAAATCTAGTCATTAATGAATGACTAAAAAGAGAATGCCTGGGCAAGTGTGGTGTCTCACACCTGATATCCCGACACTTTGGGAGGCTGAGGCGGGTGGATCACCTGAGGTCAGGAGTTCCAGGCCACTCTGGCCAACATGATGAAACCCCGTGTCTACCAAAAATACAAAAAATTAGCCGGGCGTGGTGGCGGGTGCCTGTAGTCCCAGCTACTCGGGAGGCTGAGGCGGGAGAATGGCGTGAACCCGGGAGGCCGAGCTTGCAGTGAGCCGAGATCGCGCCACTGCCCTCCAGCCTGAGCGACAGAGCGAGACTCTCTCAAAAAAAAAAAAAAAAAAATACAAAAAATCAGCCAGGTGTGGTGGCGGGCACCTATAATCCCAGCTACTTGGGAGGCTGAGGCAAGAGAATCGCTTGAACCCAGGAGGCAGAGGTTACAGTGAGCTGAGATCGTGCCACTGCACTCCAGCCTGGGCAACAAGAGCAAAACTCTGTCTCAAAAAAAAAAAAAAAGAGAGAGAGAGAATGCCTGTGTTTCAGAGTGAGCATGTTGAATTGATGCTTTTATTTCCTTTGCTGTTTGCATATAGATTGAATATGAAAGGAAAAAGAAAGAAGACGGAAAGCGAGCTCGAGCTGATAAACAACATGTTTTAGACATGCTATTTTCAGCCTTTGAGAAACATCAATACTATAATCTTAAGGACTTGGTGGACATCACAAAACAACCTGTGGTATGTATATGTTCATACTAATCCTTTGAATATGCCCTCCTTCATGAACATGACATTACTGAAAGTGTATCATACATGGTTTCGTTCATATTTACCTATGCTAATGACAAATTTTATGACAACAGTCAGAAAAGATGCCTTAATGCAGCCGTTTTTTGGTAACAGCAGTTTTTATTTTAGATTTTAGTACACTTAATATCAACAATTCTTTATGAAGAAAAGAAGTTGTCCTTGTGTTCATTTATTCTTGACATTAAGCCTGAAATCTGTTGATAGCATTTCTGGTCTTTATTTTGTTTCCCTGTCTTCCTCTGAAAAAGCTTAACTCCTTCCCTTTTTTTGGAAAACGTGCCTCATAGAAGAATCACATTCTTGAAAGAATTATACTGTTTTGTCATTGTGGGAGGGTTTATCCCTGTCTTGTGGATTGTTCTCTGTGGATTTTTTTTTTTTAATTAGAATCTAAGTAGGTCCTTTTAAACCTGAGCTGAACTGCACTTCGTTATGCTTGCAGAGATTGTGATTAGGTTGGCCTGTTCCCCATTTTTAAGGACAAATTTAACAAATTGGTATTTTAGAAAGTTTATCTTTGTTTTATAAATAGTCATTTTTATCTCTTCTCTAGGCTTTTGTGCATTTACTAGTAATTTGCATTAATAATCCATTTAAATGATAGTAACAATAAGAAATCCAAATTCTTTCTCTAGTCTTTGAGTCACATTGTTTTCCATTTAACTTTCTCCACCGTATGTTACCACAGTATCAGATTAAGTATTTACTTATAGGTTTAAGAAAATTGAATGGAAACTCTTTTTATCTCATTTGCTTTACCATTTTGTCCACTCTGCCAGTATACTCAAGAATATGTTGATTCTTGCTGCTCCATTTATTTGATTCAGAATATGTAACAAAATAACCAATTTTTTAAAAATCTTAACATAACCAAATAACCTATTTGTGAAATAACTTGATTTTTTTAAATTTATACAAAGCTTTAGGAAATTATTTATGAAATTTTAGTGTTCATTATACAGTTTCTTCTGCAGAGATTTCTTTACCATTGTACATCAACCTTTCACTTTTTGTTAAGAAATTTAAATTCCAAAAGATTTACTTTTTAATCAGAAGAAAGTGTTCATGGTGCAGTATTATCAATTCATCCCAATGACTTCACTCCCTTTGGCATCAAAGCCTTAGAAACAGCATTCTAAGCTAGATTAAAAAATTTTTTTGAAATACACTAATTCATTAGCCAAGCTGTGTTTCTTCTGTTTTAATGAAATTTATCTTTGTGTGTGCATATGTATATATACATCTGTATGTAAAGACCATTCCAGAAACTCTGAAAACAGACAAGAGATTCTCATGGAATTAAGCACAAAAAATTAGATATGGAAAATAATCACTTGTAGAGGGGCATTCAGATGATTAGGGAAAAGTTTCTTTGCCTTCACATGGGATATAAGGTTTATTCATTTTGCATCAAAGAAAAAGGATTACTAGTATGTCTTTTGGTTTTGGTTAAGATATTTTTCATATGGTAGTACTCAGTGAATCTCTTACAACAGAACTTCTTAATTCCTAACCAGTGGGTAGACTTCAGGGGATCCATTAAGTTCCTGAATATCCTGAATATGTGCAAAAATATATGGATTTTTCTGGGGAACGTATCATCCATAGTTTGTATCAAATTCTCATAGAAGCCACTGATATTGAAACTAACTTTTTAAATAATAGTTTTATTATTTAGAGACTAAATTGCCTCAATAAACGTAAGATTCTTGAAGGCAGAGTTGTATGCTATTCCTGTCCCTAAATATTCATACACCCCATAGTGTAAAATATGGTAAAAATTCAGTAAATATCTCATGAATTGATTTGAAAAAAGAAAGTCCTCAGTCTCCAAGGGCCCACCATATTTTCTTCAGATGGATTTTTGCAGGCCTCTCACGTCATTTATAGTGAAGTTGGGGGAAAGAGTGCCAAGAAAGTGTGGAATGCCTTCCCCAGGCTGGATGTAGGCCAGAGGTAGGGTTACCTCCACCTAGAGGAGAGGGCAGAAAGTGGTCAGCATGGATTCCAGTCCATTGACTGGGAAAGAAAATTGCCAAAGCCTAGCTCTCCCCCAAGTAGGCAACTATCCCCCTTTAAAAGGATCCCAGGACATAAGTGAATCTGTACTAATGGTCATCAGTAACCAAGAGACTTGAGGAATCTATTCTAGCATGAAGATCTGTGGTCCAGGAAAAGGGATGTCCTGGTATAATAGAAAGAACCCTGGATTTGGAGTATGAGATCTCAATTCAAGTCCCGGCTCTACCATTTAGCCAAATAGTCCTGGACAAAGTACTTAAATACATTTAATACATTACTTATATATTTAATATTTAGTTCACAACATATGTAATAATATAAAATTTGCCAGTATGTTCAAATTATAATTTTTTTTGGCGGGGGAGGGGGTTGTTTGTTTGTTTGTTTTTGAGATGGAATTTTGCTCTTGTTGCCCAGGCTGGAGTACAATGGCACAATCTCTGCTCACTGCAACCGCCACCTGCCAGGTTCAAGCGATTCTCCTGCCTCAGCCTCCTGAGTAGCTGGGATTATAGGCGCCCACCACCACACCTGGCTAATTTTTGTATTTTTAGTAGAGACGACGTTTCACCATGTTGGCCAGGCTGGTCTTGAACTCCTGACCTCAGGTGATCTACATGCCTCAGCCTCCCAAAGTGCTGAGATTACCCGTGAGCTACTGTTCCTGGCTAAAACCTTCATTTCTATAAGCAAAATTATTGGCTAGAGAAACTGTGCTTAGGTCCCGTCTTTTTCTCTCATTTGCCAGTATGTGACTGACTTACATAAGCAACTAGAAAGAGTGAAAGTTACTCATCGAGGGCCGGGCACGGTAATCCCAGCAATTTGGGAGGCCGAGGTGGGCAGATCACAAAGTCAGGAGATCGAGACCATCCTGGCTAACATGGTGAAACCCTGTCTCTACTAAAAATACAAAAAATTAGCTGGGCATGATGGCGGGTGCCTGTAGTCCCAGCTACTCAGGAGGCTGAGGCAGGAGAATGGCGTGAACCCAGGAGGTGGAACTTGCAGTGAGCCAAGATTGCGCCACTGCACTTCCAGCCTGGGTGGCAGAGGTGAGACTCAGTCTCAAAAAAAAAGGAAGTTACTCATAAAGGAGGCCAAGCTGTGGTAACTGATATAAAGTCAGGGACATAGTATCCATTTAAAGAGATATTATCTTAGTCTGTTTTTTGTTACTTATGATAGAATACCTGAAGCTGGGCAATTTTAAAGCAAAAGAATTTGTTTCTTAAAATTTTGGAGGCTAAGAAGTCCTGGGTCAAAGGACCACATCTGGTAAGAGGCTTTTGCTGGTGGGGACTCTGCAGAGCCCTGAGGCAACACAGGACATCACATAGTGAGGAGGCTGAGTGTGCCAGCTCAGGTCTCTCTTCCTCTTCCTCTTCCTCTTTTTATAAATCCACCAATCCCACTCCCATGATAACCCATTAATCTATGAATGGGCAGAACCCCCATGACCTAGTCACCTCTCAAAGGCCCAGTTCTTACTACTGCCACATTGGGAATTAAGTTTAACGTGAGTGTTAGAAGGGACAGATATACAAACCATACCAGATATTTTTATAGGGTTTAACTTCTGGATTTTTCCCCCTTAAAAATAGAAGATTTCAGGAGGCCTATTATTTCTCCTGGTACTCTGGTTTTTAACTTTGAATGGGTTATGTCTAGCTTTTTTCACATTTTGTTTTATCTGTCAAATAGAAGCATTTACAGCATTTCCTTTGAAGATACAAATCATGAAAAACTTTTATCTAATTGCTCCCTTTGAAACACCAAACTGCCAATACCACTTTGAGCTTCAACACTCTGTTTTCTGTCTAACAGTGTTCATTTACCAGTGTTCCTCTACAGCATACTTGTATTAAAAAGTGTCATTGAAAACTAGCCCTGATTAGAACTGGACCGCTTCATTTCCTTTTGCACCACCTATCCAATTTCAGGTCAGGATTCAGAAAAGTTTATTTTTATTTTTGTTTTTATTTCTTTTATTTTATTTATTTATTTTTATTTTTATTTATTTATTTTTTTTGAGATAGTCTTGCTCTGTTGCCCAGGCTAGAGTGCAGTGGTACAATCTCAGATCACTGCAACCTCCACCTCCTAGTTCAAGCAATTCTTCTGCCTCAGCCTTCCGAGTAGCTGGGATTACAGGCGCCCACCACCACACCCGGCTAATTTTTTTTTTTTTTTTTTTTTTCTTGAGACAGAGTCTTGCTTTGTCCTCAGGCTTGAGTGCAGTGGCACGATCTCAGCTCACTGCAACCTCCGCCTCCCGGGTTCAAGAAATTCTCCTGCCTCAGCGCCCCCAAGTAGCTGGGACTACAGACATGCACCACCATGCCTGGCTAATATTTGTATTTTTTAGTAGAGACGGGGTTTTGCCATGTTGGCCAGATTGGTCTCAAACTCCTGACCTCAGGTGATCTGCCCATCAGGCAGGCTGCTTTCTAATTTCTATATTATTAAGAATCATCATCATTAATCCTAAACCAGGTATGTAGAATATGTAGAGTGTAGAATTTAAGCTTTATCTTAGTTCAGTTTCTACTCCAAAAGGAAAAATAGGTGTTTTTAATGTTTGAAGCTTATTCTCAAATTTACTACTACTTAATAAGTGCTGTTTTTATTATAATGCTTTGCACTGACATATATTCACTTGGTTCCTTTTTTCTTTTCATTTTTCCTATAACTGGAAATTTTTATTTTTAAATTTTTATATTTTTATATTTTAAATATGTATTTTTTTATATTTTAAAAAAAGACAATCAGTTTCCCAACAGAGCATATTGATTAATGACAGCCCTCTTTAAGACTGCTTTTAAGAAATAATTATTTGCTAATTTATGAAGTAGAGCCTTAATTAAAAGTTTTAGACTATGAAATGTGATATAAAATAAACTGTC